CAGGAAATGCGGGAGGAGGATGCCTGGACCCTCCCAATGCAGAGGAGGAGTACAGTAGAAGAAAAGGATGGTGTTCTGAAGATAGCGGTACATAACATTAATGGGTTAAAGTCACGAAGTTATCGGTTAGATTTGGTTTTAGTATGGGCTGCGCAAGAAGGTTTCGATTTGGTCGGGTTGACAGAGACTAATATACAAGAGCGCACGGGAAAATTTTTAATGAAAGATAAAGACAATTATCGAGGAATTTGGGCAAGCGCAGATGTAAACAAATCTAAAGGTTCAGGTGTAGGGTTACTCATTAGCAAAAGGGTAGAGAAATATATTGGAAAAGTAGAAAAGATAAATGAATTTTTATTAATTGTGAACTTTTATTTGCCAAACAACATTACGCTCTCGGTTATAGTGATGTATCTCCCACCAAGCAATAGCGAAGTGATAAAAGAAGTTTCGGCTAAGATTCAGGACAAGATTACATGTTATGAAAAAACAAATTCTGTAATCTTAATGGGGGACTTTAATCATGTAGTAGACCCACAATTAGACCGAGCAAGGCCTTCATCAACACAAAAGAATTTACTACTACATCGGTGGCTAATGTCTAGAGAGTACAAGGACTCTTTCAGGCTTTGCAACCCAGAAAGTAAAAAATACACATGGAGTAATGCTACAACAGCAACAAGAATAGATCAGATCTGGGTAGCGAATTGTCTAGCTCAACACATTGAGACAGCAAACATTATTGAAATGCAAACAATTACAGGGAGCGATCACGAGGCAGCTTATGTTGACATCAAGATAAAGCCACACAGAATCCCAGAAGAAGTTGCATCAAGTGAGACACATTCAGCAGTGCGAATAAAGTGGTTACTGGACCAGACAAAAGAAGAGGAGTGGCAGAATTATAGAGCAACATTGTGGAAGCTCTTAGATAGCAAAATTCCGTCCTTTCTAAAGGAACATTATATAGACATAAACATAGCGTCTGCACCAAATACATTGGATAGAGTTAACCAAGTATGGGGACTTATAGAAGAAGCTATTATTAAATCAGCAAAGCAAAACCTTCCAAATAAGAAAATTAAACCTTCAAAGAGTGCCGTTAGGAATAGAAAAAGGAAAGACTTATGGTTGACAGCTGCACAGAATCTGGGAAAGATTATGAGAGATATTAAAAGAGCAGATAATCCACCTAATAGCTGCTCAGTTTTGCAATGGAACAAAGGTCTGAAGAAAATAAACAAATCGACAGGTAGTGAAATCACATTGGTCACTGACTTCATTACTGAAAGCTGGTTAGAAGAAGCAAAGGTATGGTGGAAAACTTTTGAAGGCAAAGTGGTCACCGAAGAGAATATACGAATCAAGAAAGAAATTAGAGTTTGTGTTGAAAGAAGAGCACAAATGATCGTTAAGGAACAAAAACGAATGCTAACAAGCCTGCTAGAAAAATCAACTGCCAAAGTGACAATTGACAGAGTTTATACCGAAGAGGCAGAGAGCGCTCGGCTAGAAACAAAACCTAAAGAGGTGCTTAGGATTACCAAAGAGCACTTTCAAAACCAGTTTCGTAAAAGAAAAACAAATATAGCCTTGCTGAATGGAGATTGGCACCAAGAATATAGTCCTATTGCATGGATACAGGAGAATTGGTATGATTCATTACTCGAGCCAATCGAATTAGAAGAGTGGGAAGCAGTATTAAGGAATAGCAAACCGAACTCAGCCTCAGGGATCTCAACAATCACATACTCATTTATCAAGCAGGCAGACAATAGGACACAAATTATTTTTAAAAACTTCGCAAATT